ATAAAATTATAATATTAGAAATTTTAAATGCTGTAAATTCTTAGAAAAATAAATTTAGTTATTTATTTTTCTTATCTATTGTTAGAAAATTTTAGAAATAAAATTATTTTAAATAAATGTGATATTTCTGCTGTTAGTAAAATTGTAAGATTTCTTTCTATTGTTTTTGAATATTTAGACATTGTAAATTTCATGTGCAATGACTGCTTTATTATTTGAAAATTGATATTTTTGTAATTGATTATAACATTGTTGTGAAATGTTTAATTGCGAATTGACATCTCATAAATTTTGATAATTCCGTATTCTTGAAATTCTATAAGAGTTTTTCTATACATATTAAATTGGCAATTATGCTAAAATGTCTTTACGAACTGCTACTTTTCTAAATTTGAACTCAAAATATTTGATTGGTTATTTTTGAAATGTTATTGAAAGTGACTGTTATTAATGGTTTCTGTGAAATTCATATTAATTATTTCAGTGATATGTTGAGTACATGATATTGCTGCTTTCGAATGTTTAAAGAGATTTAGAAATACTTTAAGTATGCAAGTGGACTCATCCGGTTCGCAGGTGTGGTATAAGTGAACCTATCCGGGATGTCGATAGGGATTAAGTGAACTCATCCGGTACGCCGGTGAGATATAAATGGACCTGCAGGAATTAAGTGGACCTATCTGGGACACCAATAGGAATTAAGTGGACCTATCTGAGACGCCGATAGGGATTAAGTGGACCCATCAGGACGCTAATGGGGTATATAAGTGACCTACTTGGGACGCCAGTAAGGTAATTTTGTGGAATCTTTTGAATCATGTACTGCCGTTAAAATGTTATATGCATTTCAATCATTTGGATTATGTTTAATTGTACATTTCTGAAAGTGAAATTATTATCTATTAATGCTTGTGCTCGCATTGTTTTAATTGACCTCCATTTTGAAAGTTTGTTTATATCTTTCATCGATGATTATTTTTAAGATTATGATGATCACTTACTGAGTAGCCAAACTCATCAAACTATAGTAAATATTTTTTAGGATAACTGCGGTTTCATTTTGAGTGCTCGTCAGGATCAAATTTGAAAGATATTGTAGTTGTGCTTAAGCTTTCTTTTGTTACTTTGTAAAAATTTGTCACTGTAAATTTGTCCTATCAAGAGATGTATATATGTTTTGACTATAACATCTCAAGAATAACATTATTGTAAATTCTTGGGGTGTGACACAATCATACTCAAATATTTAGCATATTTTATAACATCCACGGTTACTTTGTCATTATTGTCTTCGCATGTATCAAATAATGGGTTTTGTGGGTTTAATCTCAAGTTTGAAATAAATGCAAATCTCAATCCTCTATAAAGGAAGTTAGAGTCCATTTATTATATTATTAATTTAGTACTGTAAGTCATGATGCCCCCTACTCATATTTCAATCTTCATACCAATAAATTAAAAGAAAACAATAAGGAGCACACAATGGTATATGTGCATTTGCCACCGTCAACACCCATGATAGTGGCAATCTAGATTGATTGGTCGGCCGTGCTGTTTAACATGGGCCCGCCCATTGTGCATCATCTCCACCTTCAAATGGGATAGGCGATGAAGATTAGCCCAGGACACCAGATCATGCATCCCAAAAACAATGACTTGGAAACACAAATAGCGGTGGATAAGGGCATCATGCCATACAGAAATGAGGATGTCACATCTTGACTCCCCATTTTATTAGAGAGTATATCATACACCATAAGGCATATGATACATGGTACTTCAGGACATCCACTAACGATTAATGATGATGCGTGATGAGGATTTAACTACAGTCCCAGACGAAGCCATTCACTTGGGTAGATTAGTATCCCACCCCAAGTGATGAGAATGGATGTTGGATGCTGTGCCATATATCACACATCAGTCATCTACAGTTGTATTCCTCCCAGTTTATAAATGGCGCCCTGACCTGCTTTGAATAGGATGGAGGTGCAAAATGTAATAAACCAAGAATATACATGATATATAATAAAGATAATAGTGAAAAATATAACTTTTTTTTTTCTTGAATGATTTTTGCATTCATATTTTCAAAAAATGAATCAACGTAACATAATGCCACATGAAGTAAAAAGAAAACTATCAACTATGGACTAAGGAGAAGAACTAACATTTGTCAGAGTCCACTCTTTGGCACCCCAACCCTCAAGATTTCATCTGAAGCAACAAAGAGATATATTATATCAATGACGGCAGGAATTCAAACAATATACAAGTACATCACAAATTAAAAAGTTAAATAAAACCACCACCTAGGTGGTTGGGCTATGTGAATCAATATTTGCCAAAAATAGAAATATGTTCTAGCATGGAAACCAAAAATGGAGAGATTTGCACATTAATTTGAATAAGAAATCTCCCTCCTTCCAGAGTTGCCATATCTTGGGCTCATAATGCTATACTTGCAGGGAAGGGAAAAAAACCAGTTTACACTTTAGCAGCTACCATTTCAATGGCTTTAGTATCCACTGGGTTTCAAGGAATGGCATATTACCAAGAACCTCTGACTAGTTTGGATGGTATTTATGGTTCTACCGTTTCCTCAGCAACTGGCTTTCATTGTTTTCATATGATTATTTGCGCTTCTTTCTCATAAATCCACTCCCAATCAACTGACTGTACTCCACTCACCATCAGGATTTGTTTGCTTGCTTAGTTAGCAGGGCTTTGCTTCCTTGAGCTTAGTGAGCTCTTTTCCTTGCCTTAGCTTAGTTAGCTACAACGACTATGCACCTTAGCATGCAAAGCTACAGCTACAACTGAATTTTTTCTTGTCCTAATTACATGAGCAAAGCGCAAAGCAGATGCGATATCCAATATGTATATTATGTTAGAAATACATTGAACTTAACTATATATATTTGTTGTCACAAGGTTATTTATTGTCTAGCCTAACTATGCGGCTTGGCTCCTAAGTCTAGCAACTAACTTAGAAGTCAGATTCAACCTTCTCACACATCACTCACACAAGAGAACATGCACAAGGGCCTACACAAAGGGTCAGGAAGGGCCATGGTCCTATTCTATTGCTCTACACAGTTATGCGAATTACTGCATCAAATAATCCTCAAGGGTCTGGGCTTAGGGTTTATACAGACCCAGTCAACTTTTGAATGGCAATAAAAGTTGGCAAAGCCCTAATGCATGGCCCGCAATGAAGCCACCATGACTTGGCCATTACGCCCACATCTCTGGTTCACTAATGATGGCACTACCTCCTTTGAATTTGAATTTGATGCCTGGACAACTTGGGTACACTAGCTCATCATCCAATCGTGCCCTCGAGTGGCAGTGAGGTCTCAACCTGCATGCACCATGCTCCGTGGCCTTCTTGTCCACCACGATGAGTCGGTCAGCCCAATACTTGAGTCTGCTCTTCAAATGGGTTTGGCAGCTTAAATAATTGAATCACTAGGAGTTGAAGGTCCTGCACTAAAAAGTAGCACAAGTTTGTACGTGACACTCGTTGAGCCTCTTCCTTAGTTGTTGGCTGCATCAAAGGACGGGTCATTGCACCGAGCCCTTGGCCAGCATGCGCACACCAAGTTGGCAGCTAGACGAGTGTCCCCCATCAACAGTTCCCAACGTCGTCATCAGGTGTCTAACCAAGAAGTTTTGTATCAGACCCTCATACTGCTAGAGGGTTACATCTCTTTCCCATCTAGCTACTTCGGGCAAACCATTCCACCTAAGCAGGAAATCCACCCTTCGATTCTTGTTTTGACCCAACACACACCGAGCCAAGATGATCTCAACCTTGCGTTCAAACAACTTGAGCTCTCATCTCATCCTCGTTGCAGTCAGAGGGCTTCAAGAAGCTCACATGAAACAATGGATGCACCAATACGGTCAAGGAGAGAATGCAGTAGGCCAATTTTCATAACCGTATGGTCGCCTTTCTAGACAAGTCCATGAGGTACTGTATTGGAACTAATCTTCTTCCAAATCTATGGAAGGAGCTTGAACCTCAGCCAATTCCCCACTTTAAACTCCAAATGTTCCCGGCCTTGGTCCACACACTTCTTCATACACTTGACTGCTTGGTCAAGGCAGTCACATACCTCCTCAAACTGTTCTCCTCAAGACCTAGCAGTTGGACACTACACCTGCCCTTGTTGCAGTGCTACATCATGTGGTGCTAGGGGCTGCTGACCAATTGCTAATTTGATGATGCTCTTTTTCGTCGAAGAGTTGTGATGAAGATTATAGCAAAACTGGGTCATATCTAACAGTTTGAACCATTTGTGTTGGTTAGCCATCACGTAATGTCGAAGGTACTCCAAGATTACATTCACCCATTGTGTTTTACTATTTATCTAAGGGTCGTAGCTCGTTGAGATATTTAGCTTCACCCCCATCAACTAGAACAAGTACCCCCAAGACCTTCCAGTGAACCTAGCATCTTAGTCACTTACAATGTCCTCCAAGGCACCGCAAAATTTCACCATGTGTGAGGAACAACTCTATTGCTACCTCAGCAGTGCAACTGTCAGATGCTGCAACGAAGGTGCATATTTGGAGAACCGGTTGACCACTACCATGATCTGGCTTATGCCATCAACCTGGGGTATATCGCTAATGAAGTCCATGGACATCTAAGGACCTTCAAGGATAACAAGGCGCTCGAGTAGTCCGGCCAGCCTCTGCCAATTTGTCTACTCTTGTTGGCAACAAGGCATGTTTGAACATAGTGTTTTACATCTTGCTCCATGTGGACCAAGAAGTTCCTGGCCAAGTGTGCTATGGTCCTATCCTGGCTCAGATGACCTGCAGTAGGGGCATCATGACACTCACTCTAAGCATATTATTTGTTGGCACCACAAACCTACTTTCGAGCAAGTAATGTTGCTAAACTCTTAGGCAGTGCACCACAATGGTCATCTCTTTCTCATGGACTAAATACCTTTGTTCAATCTCATTAGGCTTTTGGCACTCAAAAGCCACAAGGTGCTCGTCCTGGGTCTAGACTTCTCCAATTGCGTAAGTGGAGGCACTCGTCTGCACCTCAGATGGCTTATCGAAGTCTAGGAGGTGCAGCACCAGTTTGCCGGTAATTCCCTCTTCAACTTCCAAAATGCTACCTCACAGGCCCTTGCCCACTCCCACTTGACCTCCTTCCTAAGAAGGTTGTTCAAGGCCACAATCTTTCTAGGGTAACCTTCAATGAACCGCTTTTAATACTTATCTAGTCCCAAAAAGGAGAATGGCTCAATAGACATCCTCAAGTTGTGGCCACTTGAGAATGGCTTGCACCTCCTGACATCCATCTTGATCACCCCTCTACCAACCTTGTGCCTGAGGAACATGATCTCCTCCTAGGCAAAAATACAATTTTCAAATTTCGCATTCAACCAATTTGCCTTTAACCTTTCCAACACTGACCTCAGATCCTTAACATGGTCATATAGGGTCTAGCTATACTCTACTATGCCATCTAAGCACACAACAACAAAGAGATCGATTTACTTCCAATGAACATCATGCATTAGATGATCAGCATCCAGGAACTATCATGCTTTCTTTGGGACAATACCGATATGCCAAAAGAGGACTTGGATGGCTAGATCATCTGTGGATCCAGCAACTCATCTAGCTGCTTGTGGAGTTCAGCTCCCTTTGATGAATCCAAGTGATAAGGGGCTCTAGCTATTGGATGTGCACCAGCTAGAGCTCAATGTAGTGCTAAACCACACACCGGGGGGGAAAGGTCCTAGGGAGCTCTGGGGAATAATGCCTACATATCTTTCAAGAGTCCTTCAACTATGGGAGGCACCATCAAGCCATCTCCAATCTCCTTGGTCATAGGAGCTGCCAAGTAGGTGGCATGTTCTTGCAGCAACCCAGTCTTTAGTTATAGCACAGATAACATCTTTCCCTTGTCTTTGCTAGCCACCGGACCATGAAAGGGTAACTTTCATCAATAATTGCCACCACAACGAGGTGTGGCACAGCTTATGCCTTGTACATTGTCAAAATATCCAACCCAAGAACTACCATGAAGTCATCCAAAGCACAACTATAAGCGAAATGCACCCATTCCAGTCCCGACCTTAGCTAACACCTTGTTAGTTATCAGCACAACAAACTAGCCCACTGAGTTCACAGCCTTCATCATTCTTGGATACCATGTCCACCATACTCTAGCCTCATCGCCATTTAGGGTGACTCTCATGTACACGAGGCCACCTCTGGTGGGTACTTCCTTATCCACCTTTTGCATAGCAAACAGCTGAAGAGGAGTGGCCGGCACTACCTCTTCTTCTCCCTTGGGCACCATTTGGACGACTCCTAGTGAGTGCAGTCCTTGTCTCAATGGGGACCTTTGCAGATGAAGCAACCCAAGCAGTCCTTGTTAGCACCTGGTTTACTAGAAGACTCCCCTCTAGGCCACTCAACTTCTTGAAGATTTGGGTCCCTGCCAATTTTTCTACCACGGCTTTTGCCTTGCCTAGACATGAACCCTCAGAAGGAGCTTTGAGTTTATAGTCCATGAGACTCCTCCACAGCCACAACTGCAAGGAGATCCTTAACCCTTGGTGGCCTCAGCTCCGCCTGAGGCCATCAATGCAGCACAACCATGAAGTTGAACAACTTGTCCTCCTCAGACATGTTCTTGATGTCATGCATGAGGCTAGAGCAGTGTTCCGAGATTCAGTTTGGCCAAGGTACTACTTGACCCTTGGCAAAGACGAGTTACTTGGGCGAGTCCAAGTAACTTGCCCGAGTCCAGCTCGTGTTAAAAAAGTAAAAATAAAGCCCAAAACATTAATATATGTTAAATAATCTTTCATTTTTCTACGTCAAACTCACAACGGCGTATTCGTTATCTGTGCCGCCGATGGCATGCCTCTTTGCCAAGAGGTCTCGGCTTCCATGCTCAAAGGTGCTCTTTTTGGAGTTGTTTTTTAGCTTGTCAAAAAGAAAGGGGCTCAATTTAAACAATAATGTGGAAGTGTTCGTGCGGGGGGTTCAAACCCTCAATGTGATGAGGGGTAACCATGCATGGCACCCAACAAGCACTTTGTGCGTATTTGAGTCAAAATCAACATAATAATATATATAGCTTATACATGACGTACATCAAACTTGGGAAAAACTCGTCTCGCCCATAGGGCGAGGCTGTGTAACTCGGCCGAGTCCAAGTATGTTTGTTCGAGTCCTAGAACACTAGACTAGAGAATTTCTTCACATACTCTTGCACAGTGGCGGTGCTTGATTTTCTTAATGTCTCCCCTACTATCCAAGCCACACTACTTGGTAAGAACTGCTCCTTGCGTTCCCACTTGAGGTCCTTCCAAGTCGCAACAGGAGGCCTCGATCCATCAATGGTGCATGTCCTCCATCAAAGTTTAGCATCTCTGATGAGGTATGTGGTGGTTACAGTCACAAGGCCTTCTTCTGGAGCATGGCAGCATTAAAATATCCTAGAGGAAGTTCTCAAACTCATTAGCACTCCTTTGTCCATCAAAAGGTTTGGGCTCAACTACTCAAACTCTAAGTGGCTTAAGCATGCTTGGGGAGTTACTCAATGCCTTCTTGATTAGATTGAGCTCCCCTGTCAGTGTCTCGAGGTTCTCCTCAAACATGTTGGATAAGGCAGCAAAATCAGCCTCTAGGTCCCCCATAGAGATTCTCCAAGCACTAACTTGCTCCTCATGAGTCTCCACCATTGCATCTAGTCGAGCAGTGAGATGCTGAGAGCCAAGGTGCTCTCTCCTAAGGCAGCGACTCAAGTGACCATTTGATCAAGCTACAAGTCTCTCCTTCACTTGAGTCATTTGATCGATCATTGCAGGGGCGATATCTTAGAGAAGTATGAGCCTGCAGCGATACCGATGTCACAAAGTTATTTTTTGTCTAGCCTAACTGTATGGCCCTTGCTCCGAAGTCTAGCTATTTGGGGTTTAGGCTTAGCCTTCTCACACACCACTCACTCAAGCAAATACGTACAAAGGTGTATGCAAAGGCCTAGAAAGGTCGTGCCACAATTTTATTACTCTATACAGTTACAAGGTATACTGCACCACACGCCCCTCAAGGGTCTAGACCAAGGGTTTTTAGACCCTGGTTACAACTTTTGAATTTCAAATGCAAGGCAATATGTGTGGGTCAGCCCAACTGCATGGCTTGCATTGAAGCCACATGGCGACTGGCTCCTGCCAGGGTCAGTTCTAGAAACTTTCCAACGTTTTAACCGCCATGACTTGGCTGTTACACCCCTATCTCTGGCCCACCCATAAAGGTGTTGCCTCCTTTGAATGTGCCCAACCTAGGCACACCATTGTGCCCTCGCATGGCCTAAAATTTACTTAATTGATCTTACTTGCCAAATTAAAAAATTGATTAGCAAATTTGACCAAATATGGACAATTAGGCATGTTTTTAGCCCCACAAAAATTCACACATACATCTCATAATGTATCATAAGACGTACTATTTTTGGAACTTGAATTCTTTCTTTTTTCCATATTCATACATCTTAATGTCAAGATGGTTAATTTGATTTTTCCCAATATAAAACAACTTTTTTCGAGGGACTTTTAAGGTGCACCTTAATTCTACGTTTTAAGGTGTCAACTTTATATAAACTTTTTCACACACACACAAATACATGCACACACACACACATATATATATGTAGACACACACCCCGCTAGAATTCACAACCCTTGAAAATATAAAGTTTAATGCTAGAATGGGTTATAAGTAGTGTATTTACTAACTATGTAGTTTCTTTTTTAAAGAAATTACTTTTTGTAGTTGCTTGCTCACCAGGAAAGGGTATACATATAATTATCGCTAAAAGACAAGGGGCATTTTTGTTATCTTTATAAGGGTAAAAGTTGAACTTTTTATTAAAAGACAAAGTTAGTGTACAAATAACAGGACAATTGACTTCCCAAAAAGCATTCTACTTGTATGAAAATTTCAAATTTACCCTTAATGAGTAAGTAACCTATAAAAATTGTTTTTTTGACAAAAATAATGATGTTTTCATAAATACACCAATTACAACTCATTCTAACATTAATCTTTGTATTTTGAGGAGTTGTTAACTCTAGACAAACCCCATATTTGTGTGGGTATGTGTGTGTATGGAGAGAGAGAGAGAGTGAGAGAGGCAATCTCCCTCTATCCATCAGTTTCAAATCACTCTAATGATGGTTTTCCAACTAGAAAGGCCTTTGTTTCACCAAAGAGAAGGAAAAAGTGAGACATAATCTTAAGGAAGAAAAAGAAACAACTAGGAAACATTTTGCATGAAATTTTCCTTTTCTTTTTTTCTAGGTTTACATTTCTCTTTTTTTTCAAATTTCAAATTTGTTCCATTCAGCAGATTCTTCTTCAACTTTTGAGAACCATCTTCCTTTTTCTTAAATGTATTGTATTCATTGCTTTTGCGTAAGGAAAGGTGTCAAAACAAGAAAGAAACACGACATCTTATTTGTGGATTCAAATCAGTTACACTGGCAACCAATTTGCCTTACCTCTTTAAACATTTAGGCTAAAAAAAACTAGTTACACTTTCTCAATGTACCTATTCCCTGCTGTAATCCAATCCATCATCACTGACAAACCAAATTGCACGAAGTGCCTCGCCTCAAAAAGAAGATGATTTTTTACCTGCATTTACCGTAGGAGCTGCAATGGTTAGGGCTTTCAAAGTGAATGTGTTGTTGTACATTATTAACCAATGCATGGTTCCATGTTGTTAACCTAGGGGAAAGTACACTATAAACCACAGCAGTAACTTTATAATAAAGTGATGGAAGGTTATGGAGACAGGGCCCCACAAGAACGCAACATGACCTCAATTTGGTTCCCAACCTCTATCCATTATCATTCGATGGTGATGACCCTATGGACCATACATAATCCATTGGATTGTTTTACACTTTCCCTTAATGTCAGTGATAAAAAAACATTTGTTTCACCTCAAGCACATAAGGAAAACAAAGGATGTATTCAGTAAAACTCCACAAAATACAAATTAAAGGACAAAATTCTTACTGAAATGGTTCCTAGTCCGACATCAAAGTAAGGATGGTAGAAGGATAATGAATCTGCTGCCAATCGACTTATAGAATGCAATATACCGACCCGCAACATCCTCTTACTCTCATATCTGTTTATTTAAACATCCCAACAAAAATGTGAAGTGAGTCCCATGCCATTCGAAACAACAGAATAAACCCCGCAAATAAAACATGGGGACTCGTTCGGAAGGAAAATCTTGACATTTCTATTTTTTTCAAGAAAATCTTAAGGAAAATAAAAGTATTGGGAAAACTTCAAAGATCTTGAAATATTCAGGAAATTCTAAGCAATATCTGACACAAATATCATAAAACTTTTGAGTATATGTCGTGTATTGGGTTGTGGAGAGAGAGAGAGAGAGAGAGAGAGAGAGAGAGAGAGAGAGAGAGAGAGAGAGAGAGAGAGAAGAGAGAGAGAGAGAGTAGTTAGTTTAGTTTAGTTAGTTAGTACTACTAACTAAGTAACTACTAACGTAAACGTAAAAGTAAAGTAAAGTAAAGTAAAGTAAAACTAAAAAACTAAAAACTAAATAAAGTA